AAATATACATCTCTGAATTCACCTCTGAAATATTCTTTGATACATCTCAGAACCAATTTTTGACAAAAATAGACAAAAAGTGCGTTCGAAAATGCATCTCCAAAAATTTCAGAAGACAATTTTGAGTTTTCAAAGGTGTGAGCCACACCATAAAGGTGTGAAAAGAAATTGCCTAGTAAAAAACATCTTCAAAAGTCACTCAAAATTTTAGAGATCAATATTTCTCTCTTTTCTTCTACTACTTTTGAAGAAAATAACAAATTGATTTTGATATCAATTCTACAAAGAACAAACTATATTGCTGAGTAGTTCAATCAATTGTTGTTTATTGATACCTCATAGTTCGAACTATATTGCTGAGTAACTTGTTGACCTGTGTTGAACCCCCAATTGTTCAAACAGTTATTCTTTTATTAGAAAACTTGTTCAACATATATTTATTAGGCATCTGATTAAAATTTGATTAAACCGATAGCAGTTGAAGAGATTGAATCAAATGAACTATAACTTGAATGACTAAACTGGTTAAATCTCTGTCCTGGCGACGACAACATTGAAAATACAACTAAATCTTATATTTTCTATTGCTTCCACCAAATTCACCAAAATCCATAGTCATACAAGAGTTTCCTAGCAACTTAAAACACTAATTCACTAGACAATAAATTTTTACATACCAAAAGCAAATTCAAAATGAATCTATTTATCAACCTTAATTTGACCAACTTAAGCCCATTTGAAAGTTTCACCGCGCAAACCTGCATAAATAGACCCACAAGATCAATGGTTATTACTGAAAATCATGCTATTTGAAAATTCACTAACAAGTAGAAAAGAGTATTTATCTGTATTACATTGTTCATAAAGTTTTTCTGCTAGCAACAACACTGCATCATTTTCTTCAGCCAATCGTGCGAATCGTTCGGTTTCCTTGACTGCCTCACTTGCCAGGTATGATTTATCTTCAGCCTCAGCAATTATGTATGCTGCAGTATCAGCTGCTTTCTTCAGCATATCATCGGAGTCCGATGATTGACGTTGCGGCTTTACATCCTTTTGTTTTGGTGAAGGTGAAGGTGTTTTTGTCACCAATGGGGCGTCTTTTTTTATCTTGTAACAATTTAGTACCTGCAATAGATGGTAAGTTGAAAAAATCACATCATCCAGAAGGGAAAAAAAAGAGCTTCAAGATACTCCAGTTTAAGAGTGCAGAATCTCCGTGGGAAGGTCAGCCCAATGGAAGCACATGAACATCTATTTTACGAAGGTTATAGACTTATAGTCCTAACAATGGTAGCTATAGTAATTATGATAGTCTTGCTTGCATAAACCTTGGAGACAGATGGTGACGATGGAAGAGAGGAAATGATAGCCTCTACTTGCAGACATATCCCCCACCCAAGATCCTTACAACAAGTCAATAACAGAGCCACTCACTAGATAGCATAGATCTCTGGGTTGATATGCCCGTGTATTCTGGTGGAAAACAAATGCTTAGACCTTGTCGCTTGCGCACGTTGTTGAGAAGTTTCTAGTGGGAAACCCCATGGCTAATTGCTAAAGCAATGTTCTATGACATCTGATTGATAAAAAATCTAAATCACCCTCCTACACTGTATGGCCTATAAGTCTCCCAATTAAACAAATCTTGAAAACACAAATGTTGTTAAAAGAGTAATGGTAGACTAATAAGCTTGAACAAGGGTGACTTTAAGAGGGAGAGAAAGTGATGGCAAAGACGTTAAGAAACACAATAAAAACTGTGGAGCATAAAGACAGGCAGATTTTGCTTCTTTTTTTTTTTTGGGCAAAAGAATCAGCAATCAGTCACTACCTAACAGATATACCATGTATTAAAGCCAAGTCAACCAAATATCCACAAGTTGAAATATCAAATATGAATAACAATGACATACAATATCACATAAGCCTCACAAAGGATTAATTTACCTTTTCAAGCTTCCCTTGATTCACAAGGGTCCTCAGCCTTGAACTCAGTGCCCTTCTGAAATTTTGAGGAACCTGCTGGTGCTTTTGCTGCAGCATAATAAGTGGGTTATGATTACTTCTAAAAGGCTATAATGAAAAGATAAAAATAATGTAGAATACTCAACACAAAAGAACAACTTGCACAAGTATACGAACTAATTTCCCAACTTACCAAGAAAAATTATATGCATTTCCGTTTTAGGCTTTGATACTAAAATTAAAAGTAATAAAGAACTTCAACTAACCTCAATGAAACTAGCAATGGCATTTAGGTCGGACCCATTAGTATCCTTTAACGTAGATAGAGCGTCAAAAACCATGGCATTATACCTGATAAGAACAAAAGTAGCAATAACTACACATATTATGATATATTATATTAGTTGACAAAACAAATGGCATGTCATGTTAAAATGCTCCATCAAATCTATAGCAAAAGAACAATTGACAGTCACTAGTACTAGTCAGCTAGAAATGCTGTTCAGTGTAAACTATAATTGAGCGAATAGTTTGGCAACATCATGCTTTAATACATCACAAAATGGAGTAGATGAGTGGATAACATATTTCTCCATCAGATCATCATACAATTAATGATAATTGATAATTTGTTCTGTTAAAATTTAAAAAAATCAGCTGCCATTTGGTCTCTTGGGCTGCAGTTAGACCAGTCAAGTCAGCCCAACCTACCCCACTCAGCCTGGCCCACATGGGCCAGGACCAAAGCTAAAACGTCCACACCTAAAAAGGTAAACAAGCCAAAAAAACTCCTCAAAAACCTGTGTGCTAGATCGGGCTCACTGCTGACCCTATTTTAAAAAATTGCTTTCAAACAAATCGGCCCATTCTACTGCTAGTCCACTATGCGCGCTGGTTGGCTATATAAACGAAAATATCACAATTACTTAAAGGTAGCATTAGTATTGATGTGTGTTCAACGACCTTACGCAAGCAGAACCAGAGATCAATCATCAGTGACTGAAATTCCAATAATTAAAAAAAAAAACAAGTTTGGAACGAAATCAGTTTATTAATTTATCTCACAAGCAAATCATTTTCTGTGATAAAAAGCATTCTATTCCAGATGAATTCTCTTTATTTGAAACTTCCAAGCGCACAAAGGAACATAACACGTGAATTTTTGAACGATAAAATACACACTAAAAGTGAAAGATCCAATTATAAGTTTCAACAATAATAACATTGGCACACAAACTAACAGCGAAAAATATTCCCCAATAATATTTTATACATACAAAGAGGAAATAATATCATCATTATCACCCAATTTTGAAGCATGGATGATCCATCTTTAAACTATGTTTAATTTATTCATTTTTCAAATTATTACCGGTGTGTCTGGTTTCCGTGTCCTCATAGACTAACATACCTTGGAGGATTTTTAACCTCTTGTTCATTTGGAGAAGGATCAGAGGCAACAACAACAACAGTATCAGAAGGAGGAGCAGAAATTAGAGGAACGGCACTGGAAGAAACAGGAGCAGCTTTAGGCTTGGGAGTCCTAGAACTAGAACCTTGTGAACCATTATTCACATAAACATTCATATTTCGCCATTTATCCTGAACAAAAAAATTGATTTTTTTTTTAAATTGAAAGAGAAAAAAAACAAAAAAACAAAATAAGAACCCTAAAAAAGTAGTTAGCAATGGAGGAAGAAGAAGAGGACCTTGAGGTCGATGTTGGAACGAGAAGTGAGTAAATGAGCGAACTGAGGATCAACGAGAATGGTTTTCCATTTTCCAGTGCCGTGTTTGTCGATTCCAGCGATAAGCGCGTCTTCTTCTTCTTGCGTCCATTTCAGCTTTTGATTCCCCATTCTAATTCGTGCTCTTTTTGTTTCTCTTTCGTTTCAGTTTCAGCTAAAACATTTTATTCGCTATGAATAAGCTTCATAGAAAATAAATTTGATTTTCATTTCTGTCTCAAAGACACATCCGTTTCTTACTCGTTGTTTTGCAGAAAATATCATGTTTTTTTTAAATTAATCAAAAAAGAAAAGCAGTGATTTTTTTTAGGTTTATGGAATAGAGAAAATTCATTAAATGAAATACTGTATTTCTCAAGAAATTTATTATTATTAAAAGACTTGCTTTTTTATTTGTCATGGATTACATATCTCTTTTTTGAACGGCTTAAGAAGTCGGTGTGACATATTTTTCTTTTTGAGAAGGTAAATTTTTCCTTTTGAACGATTTTATATGAGTCACTTTCGGCGACATCAACATTGTGTTATTGTGGTAATGATATGTTTTAAACAAATCTTTATCAGATGTAATTAGGACGTGGAGACCATCTATACTATTTGAGATACTGTGAATTTGTTATTCGTTTTTGAAAATTTATTATTGTTTTAAGAAAATAATTTATATAATTGAATTAGATATGACATCGATGTTAATTTTATCTTTTTTTACTATATGTTGGTGATTGTAGAGCATTAGGAACAAAATGTGTCTTGCGAATAAAGTGATATTTTCTATACTTTGAAATTCATATAAGTGAATTATGTTAACATTAACTAAATGTTTTCCCAAGTATAATTTGTATCATCCAACAAAAACGATTACATGAAATTCACATAAAGGTGGTAATATGATTTTGAATATTGATGGCAGTAGCTTCGATAATTACTGTATTTCGAGTTTTGGTGGATTGTTTTGAAATGTTAATAGTGTTTGGGTTCACAGTTTTGCGGGTAATATTTATTATTTCAACATTCTTCAAGCTGAACTGATGGCGCTATATCATGAATTGCGGATGCTCTTGAAATTTAGCATCAAAGACCTAATGTGTTATTCTGACTTCAACTCTTATATCAAACTTATCTCAGAGTCTATTAATATTTGACATCATTATGTTGATATTCTTCACAATATTAAAGAGATTCTTTCTAGGAAATAACGAGCTCAACTATTTCATCTCTTAGGGAGAGGATGCTTTTGTTGACTATCTAATAAAAATATGGGACTGATAATAATGCGATGTATTGGTCCTTTGCAATGTCTCATGTTGAAATCATCACTCTCCTGCTAGTTGATGCTAGTGAAATTTTATTTTCTAAATAATTTTGTATTTTTCTTTTCCTTTTCTCACTTGTACCAAAAATAATATCTTCTTTTTTGAAAATTTTATTTTAGATAGATTAATTATTAAATTCTTAAATGTTATCTTATCAATCAAATCTAAATGAACATGACCCAAACGTCTATGTCATTGCCAAAAGTCTTCACTTTAGATAACATTTGGTACCAACATTTGATATATCATATAAGTTCAACATATTGACATTATCAATTATAGAATCCTTAAACACTTTTTTTTATTAGCTTTATGTTCAATTAAACAACTTAAGGTATAAAAATGATAAAATACTCATTATCGCGTAATTGATTAATGCTTAGGAGGTTGTGTTTAAGCTCTTTAACTAAAAGAACACCATCTATGATGATTACAAATGGATTTTCCATAATAACTTCACCTAAAATCTTACCTCGATTATTGTGTACATAAGTGACGTAGTCGCACTCTTTATGAACAAATTCGATAAACATTGAGGCGTCTCCCGTCACATGCTTTGAACAACCACTATCTAAGAACCACACTTATTTGTAATTGTAAGACATTCTCACACGAAGTTCAACAAGGTAATATAGGTACTCAAATCATGTTAGGTCTTTGGGGGTTAGTACTAGGTCCTTCAGGTATCCCTGCCACGAGACCCCTACGGACTTTTACATTCCTAGTGTGACATAGAGGGCCAATATGACCATTTTCACCACAATAATGACAAATCACTTTAGGAGAATTATTATATTTTTCACAGTGAAATAGATATTTTTTATAAGATTTTCTAAAACTTTATCCTTTATCACTTGAACTCATAGAATTAACACTAGGTGATTTTGTGAGATGTGTTATTTGTCCAAGTTGTCAATTTCAAGATTTAAACAAGAACTTCATCCGCATGGAAGCCATAATTTCTCATGGTACCATACGAAAGAGTTCATACTCCTTTGTCAAAGTGTTACTTTCAGGTTGTTGGATGTCTTCAATGTCCTCTTTGAGAACTTGAAGAGCATTTCACACCGTATAAGCCATTTTACAATGTGAAATCAAAAAATACACATTAGCGCTCAAGGAGAAAATTAATATATTTATTACTTTCAAATCATAAGAGGCTTTCTTAGATTCATCATTCGTCCAGTCTTTGGGGGGTTTATTAATAGAAATGTCATCAATGATACTTTTTTGGGACAAACGGATTGTCCTTGATACTAACCCAAATAAATTTATCTAATAACATCAAGTGTGCATGCATTCATTCTTTCTAATATGCATAATTATCTCTCGTGAATATGAGATCTCTATTGCATGCACCCTTCAGATCGTCCTTACCCATATTCACAATTTTTGAAGTCGCAAGAGCGAATCAAACGACCTGGCTATGAGGATAATTGTTAGCTTAAATATGAGAATAAAAAAGTATAGAATGGAGATTGAATAGATCTTTCTCCAAATTAAAATGTTTTTAAAATTGGATTTTAAATGCGTGAGATCACAAGTTTAAAAAGAATTACACGATCAAATTGATATACAAATGAATTTAGTGATAACCAGATGATAACAAATTAATAATCAATAACATGGTAATTAATCATGTTAGTTTCAAACTACAAATGTTTGAATAAAATCTAACTAATTAATACAACAATCTAGAATTACAATTTTCCAGAATAATCACCAAAAAGAATTATTTATCAAACTTGATCTAACACATACCTAAGTTCAAACATTAAATCTCTATAAGCAACAAAATTTAATCACATGCAAACTAGAAAACAATTAGAACCTAAAAAATACAAATTCTATACAAAAATTAAAAGATATAAAGGATAAAGAAACTGTACACCGAGATTTATACTAATTCAACGTGTCCTTCTTGCTTGCACCTAGTACAATCTCCGATGACAAGCCATCAAAAATTGTTAAGTCTTCTACTAATAGAAAATCCACACGTGTCTTTTGATATAACATATAATCATAGACAAACTGAAAACTTAAAGCCAACTGCTAAGCAACACAAATCTAAATCTTGATTCTTCTTTTGCTTAACATATCTCACTATGCTGCAAATCCTTTAAGATCTTCAATCTTGATCCAAGATTTTATCTGCAAGGATCTTCACTCAACTATACTAAAATTCTATTGTTTGAGTCTTTGAACTTGTTAAAGGATCTAAAAACCCCCAGACTTCTTGGAGAATAAATGTTTATTTTTCTTTATTGGGTGTCAATATTTAGAAATCACAATCACTATATGATTCTTCTATCTAAAAAATGATATTAAAAAGAATATTATAACACCTAATGAATCACCTCACAGTTACAACTCAAACTCCCTCTTAGAGTTGAGCAACACTCAACAATGGTGTTCTTGGCTAGAAGTTGAAGAAGAAGTTTTTCAGAAAAATCTCATACAACACTTGTTCACACTCAAGAAATCAACACTAGAAAAAGTTTTTCTTCAAGGTTAATTTGAAAGAAAAAGTTTGTGTGATTGAAAAAACACTTAAGGTTTTTCAAAATCATGAAAGGATAAAGCACTAAAATAACGTAAAAATGACATTTTCATTCGACTCAAATACAAAAATGATGATTCATATCTAGTGAGAGAATGATTTGAGTCAAGATGATAAAAATCATATTTTAGCATATTTGATTCGAGTAAAAGGAAGTTGCGACTTGAGTCACGTGATTTGAGTTAAAGAAAAGTTGGACTCGAGTCACACTTTTAGCGAACAAATCAAAACTGAAAAATTTGGGTTTGAGTAAAGTCAAACCAAGGTGTGACTCGAGTCATACTTCTAGAGAGTAATTAAAAATTGAAAAGTTCAGGTTTGATTCAAGTCAATAAATATCATGATTCGAGTTAGACACCTTTTGATTCGATCAAGGAAGTGTGTGACTCGAGTCATACATCCAGAGGAAAAATCCATTTTTAAAACTTGCTCATGATTTAAGTCATGACTTTTATTGACTCCACAATCAAATTTTTAGGAAATAAATACTTCATGATTCAAGTCGAGAATTTGCATGATTCAAATTAGCCTGCACGAGTTTCTCGATTCTAATCACAAACTTACATATTTGAATAATCTTGTGTTGACTTTTAGTCAAAGGTGTAATTTATGCATGCAAAAAACATTTTGATAAAAAAATCTCAAATCTAAGAGATGTAAAAAGAACTAATTGTGAGAGGCTCAATTACTAAAAATATAATTAAACAAATAAGTAATAAAATTCGGAAACTCAAGGGTACCCTATAAAAAAATTTAACATTTTTCTTAAAGCATTAAAATAATTAACATTATTTGCATTCACAAGTAGGTGTGAGAAAAGGTCAGACCGGCCTACATGCTTATTTATTAAAAAAGTCAGACTTAAACTTTTTTAAAAGCCTATTGAATTAAATAGGTCAGACTTAGGCTATTAAAAATCTATTAAGCCTTATAGGTCGGCCTATATTTTTATATATGTTAAAAATAGTATAAATAGGTTGGTCTATATATGCTATATATTAGAGAGAAAAAAGACTAAATGAGCTGACATATATACATATATAAAAATACTAAATAGATCGCCCTATATATGCATATATATAATACAAGTAATATGGATTTATTGAAAACCTTAATAAGAAATAGGTTTTTAAATAGGCTTTCAGGTCAGGTCAGCCTTTTAGAAAGGCCAAACCAAGCCAAAAAAATGAGTCTATAGTAGGCCGTAGGCTAGGCTCAAGTCTTATAAGTTTATTGTA